TTAAAAATATTTTAAAAATAAATTTAACCAAATTAAATATTTAATGTTATTTAATGTACTTTAACAATTCATATTTAATATTTAAATATCTAAAATATTTAAATCTGTTTTTAAAACACAGATATTTTTAGTTTAACAATAGAATATTAAAATGGATGCTAAAAAAATCTGAACAAATATATTCTTTTATTTTCCTTGAATTTTCTTAGAAAATAAAAATGAACATAAAACAGCGAAATTATTTATCTCAAACTTTTAAATTTACTTTAAAAATCTCAAGTTTTTTACTCACAATATTGTACATATTTAATTTTTTTTGATGTAATTAGCTCTTCATGCACAAATATTAAATATAATCACAATGATAACTGTTAAAATAGATCCCTCAACCATTACAAAATAATTGCTTCTGTAATTATTTCTACAATTTCTAGTGCAGAAAAAATGTATCTTTTAAATAAGTAAAATTCAATACTTGCAAAAATTCTCCTTGCAATATCAAAACTTTTTACATGAACTTTAAAATTGATCCAGGTCTGCTGAGCACATAGTTAAATAAATACGGATGATCCTTCTCAACGAGTTTGCAAACTTTACATAACGACCATATTACATCATTCAAAGAATATAAATTATACTATCTACACAGCAGTTTCTCAAACTTAATTAATGATCTTTACGATGACATGTGGTCAATAAATTTGTTCATTTATTTTATATAATTTCTTCACACCTTCATCTCATCAGCTTCAATCCACACATCATCACATAATATCAAATATAGTCATATATTTATTTTACATTAATTTATCGAACCAATGATGTCAGGTTGAGTCGTGCCAAAGTTTTACATAATATCGACTCTGACACCTGAATGCAAAACCGGAGCGTGCAAGTTGCATTCGAAACGAATTATGATAATTCTATTCCATTTTAACAACCCCTGCTGCTGGTAACCTGGGAGATTTGCACATAGAAATGTGCGAGGGTCGTTTCACTAGATGTATATAACAAACACAAGCGCATTATCCCCATGTGTGTGTGTACATATACATAATGGAAAACAGCGTAAATCCTATAGGGAAGAGCATGGTGAGTCATACTGCTTTCCCATTTTTTTATCCTCATCCAATCCCTCTCTCTGTGATCGTCTCACCCTATATTGCTTCCCGCGGATATGTTCACCCTGATTGACGTTATATCTCTGGCAACCCTCACCAAATTTCGCGAACAAGAATGGCTAAGTGATTGAGGTAATCTTCAGGAATGACGTAACTCATTTATCAGTACTGGGAGGAAAATAAGTTCTCCTTCAAAGTAAAAAGTGGTCAAGTGAAATTATCCAGGCATTTTCAGTGATTATAATTGTATATTATTGGCAATAATTTTCGAGAAGGCTGAATATATATATTTATGAAACTGTTGTGTGTGTGTGCTGAGATAATGTGATAATTATTTTTATTGAAAATTTTATCGACTGAGCTTAACAAGACCATAATGTATTACATTGAGAAATAAATGTAATTACAATTGCATGCAAAGTATTTTTGTATTCCCCACGTGTGTGGTATGGATTTACTCAGCATAATAAAGAAGAGAAAGAAGTGAGTTAATTAACGAGTTTTGATGAACTTGAAATGTTATTAACAGTATTTGAAACTGTAATTTTTAAATAAAGATTAAAAAAAATAGCTTGAATGATCAAAAATATATATATATTTATTGATGAATAAATAATTATTATTATCTTTATGTTTTATTATTAAGAATGATGTTTTTAGTTGTTTCTAAATCGATAAATTATGAGAATTAATCAGTGGATATACTAGGATGAATTATTTGAATTATTATTTTATGTTAATTGAACAATTTTATTCATTACTAATGCCACTAATTTCTCTGTGTGCAAACGTACTGGTAATTTGTAGAGAATATAATTACGCTCAATTACATGCAGAAAGGAAAAGTAATATTTTTCAGTGAAGAAATAACTGGAACTAACATAGAATAATATTTTCTGAGTATTAAATCAGAGTAACTGTAATTATAGTACTAGACATTTTTATTCTTCAACAAAAATTATTTTCTAGTTTTTACAATGAGTCCTAGGAATTTTATATAATTTCAATTCAATTTTAGAATTGGAATGAAGATACCACATGCAGAATATTTATGCCAAAATTATGTAAAAACTCAATCGTGATTAAATAGTGGTGTATAAATATTTATAATAAGTAATAATAAACATAAAAGAAAATTGAAAGGATATGTTGATCATAATCAAATCAAATTGGCTGAGAATATAAATGAAATTAGGGTATAACTGGTCCAACATTGGGAAAACATTTTCAAGCTTGATCTAATGTTGGACCAGGCATGAACCTGCTTCTCACTAGGGTTTTGAAACCTGATCATCATGGTACAACAGTCTTAAAATAAATAAAATTCCCTAGTGATCCAGAAAATTTTGCATGGTTTCCAATAGAGTACTGCTGATTCTTATTAGATTAGGTAATATGGCTTTGGAATACAACTTTTTTTATCAAAATATTCAATATTAACAGATGTATTATCATCCAACATCAAACCAACTATCAAAAAGAGAACAGATGAATAAAATATGTTAGAAATGTACTTTCATGGCTGAGGAATGCATTTCTTGTCATAAGAAAAAAACTAGAGTAAATTTGAATGATAAATAAATCCCTTGTTTAGCATAAATTTGAAAAAAATTTCTAGTTTGATCCTCATGTCCAGCCGCTGTTGAATCATCCAACGAGCGAAGGACAAGCGTACTCAGCAGAGGCAACTAATTCTCTACTCGAATACGAGTGAGTTTGCAGCGTTGTCACGTTTTCCAAAGCAAACTTGCGTACTTGTGCCCTTATTATCATTTAGTCCTATCGTTTGCATTGACGTATCTCAACAAAGCCTTTGTCTTGACTGTTTATAGATAGAGACTTCTTTGATATATAGTCTATCGCGTGAGATATAATACCAGACTCAATAATACTTTCACGAGGCCACGAGTGTTCATCCACAACAGGAATATGCTAATGTCATATGCTTTGTATTTATTGCGTTACGCTCAGATATAAACACAACTTACAACGACAATGCATCATGTAGGGATTAAGTACCATAACTGGACATGAGTTCTGGAATGTTCCAACAAGCTATAAGTGTATTGTCAGACCCAGCATGCGACTCATAATTGTTCAAGAGTAATAGCATACGTTATAGTAAGTAATGATTGAGAATAAATAAGATAACTAAATAAAAATTTTGCATGGCTAAAGGTGAAACCCATCACCACGGAAAAGCATCAACGCAAGCGCATTTATGTTCAAGCGGGTAATTCAAGAAGCTGTTATTCACTCACTCTCTCTCTCTCTCTTTCTCTCTCTACACATACTTCATACGCATTCTCAACGAAACCGCGACAATGAATGTAACCACAGGTCGAAACTCTAGACGAGTCCGACATCAACGACCGGTTAAGGGTCTTCATAACTGTATAAGAGGTTCTAAAGGACAAATGCTCTGATTTTCCTTTTTGTTAAGAATGTCGTTAGAATCCAGTTTTTAATTAAAAATAAGGAAGCTTGCAGAAATCAATAGTTTTTTTTGGAAAATTAAATGAACTCTCGTTTGAAAAATAAGTGTTGGATAAATTGAATAATGAATTAAATAATGTACTCTCTTTTTGTGAAGTAGAATAATTATCCATATTAGCAGAATATTTTTTGTAAATAATTTTAATTAATTCGCTCGAAACAAGAGAATTATTTGTTCAATTCAATTTTCAGTACTACAAATTATAATATTGAAAAGAAAATTGAATCTTTAATTTAAAAATGTTTTTTAATTTTATAATATTCAGTAACCATTCCTATCTCGTTAATAATCAATGAAATATATTTTAAACAAGAAAATATTCACTCAATAATATTTCATTCAATGAAGTAAATTTTTCTTTCAGTAATCCCTGTACTGAAATTTAAATTCTTATGGCTTACTGTTAATTTAAAATACAGGTGAAATTCCTAATACAATAGATTCTTCAAAAGGTCTGACCTGCAGAAGGACGAAATTTTCCCAGATTATCTTTATTTAATCCTTGTCAAACAATTGCACCTTCGTTTACCAGAACCTTCATAAAATCATAAACTTTTATACATAAATTGTAAATACTCTCAAAGCTTCGAGAGTTTCAAATTGTCTTTCGGATTTGTTGGAGAATTTACTGTAAAAATATATTTCTGAAAATTTAAAATTCTAAATACACTCAAAAGAATATACATTGAATTTGTTCTTCATTTTCAACAGGTATTTTCTGCAAAATAATTATTAGTTCTTATAGTCATAAAGTTTTTGAATTTTATAATTCATCATAAAATAAATTTCTATAAATTTATTTATTTAGGTTATGAGAAAAAATTCTCTAATGCTTATTCTATGAAAGACAGAATAAATACCCTCATAACAATTTTGTTTCCATTATTTTCCAAGAAAAATCAATAAGTATTGAATAATTGATTTCCAGAGAAAAGAAAGCATAGCCTTTAGTAAAGCAACAATTGATTCACTTATTCAGAACAAACTATTTGAATGTCACTCCAAAATCCAACTCATTCACGTGACTGTGGTAAAAGTGAAGGAAATGTTAATGATAAAAGAGAAAGATAATACTTTTAGATATTTTTACTGAGCCTTTAATATATTTTCACGAAGATAAAAGAAAACGTCATGATAACGATGACTAATACCAAAGGAACGTTATCGTCCTCTTTTCAAGAATATATCAGCATTTACTAATATGTACCCCAACACAATAAATGCACATTCATGTAAACAATATAAACTCATATGAACCCAGGAATTAGACTTAATATGAGTATTATAACATGAATAAAAAAAAGAAGCATTCAAACAGGAAGAGTCTATTTCAAAACCCGACATTCACGATTCGCACGTGGATTAATAATTATATCACGTACCATGCCTTCGTCGATAGATGCGTCCTCTTCAAAGTAACAATCATCATTTTCTTCCGGTGGCAGAGAGCTAGAAGTTTCCGGTGACTCTTTAATATCCTGGCGCCCTAACCAATCCATCTTCTTCAGAATTGATTTGAATATAAATCTCAAGACTCAGAGAAAAAAAAATCTTCCAAATGTCCAATAGCTACTTCATCAACTATAGTACCATGTCAAAGAGAATCTACTATCGATCTACATTACGTCTCTTATAAGGTACACTTCAACGATCGGTGGGAATCACAGTCATTGCCGAGGTAACATGCCGGCACGCGGGAACCTGACATTTGCCAAATGTCAAGATAATTTATTTATACACCCACCACTAGTAACAACACAATTCAACTAAATTCATTCAAAAGCCAATTAATCAATCACTCTTCAAGTCTTTAAACAATCAATTAAGATGAATATTTTTCAATACGAGATCACTCACTGTAACACTTATTGATCAATTGAATCGAACAAGCACTAATTCAGTGGCACTTGAGCACAAAACTGTTGATAAAAAAGTGATATTGCAAGTCTACTGATCGAAAATAAACGTCAGAGAATTGAGTAGAATATATAGTAGCGTGTAAACGAGAGGGAACGTGATGGAAACGCGCGTGCGGGTGAATGCCGGTGCAGCTGCAACTACGAGCAAACTGGGAATGCTGGAAGTAGTGGTATGGAGGATGGCTCGAGGTACTGGTCGGAGTAGCAGGCCGGAAAGCAGCGGCTGCTTCACGTAGCCCTGCTCACTTGGTACAACACGCAGTCAGAGCGTGGAGAGAGTGTATAGCGTCACGCAGGAGTGACAAAGACCGCGAAAATACCGAAGAGAAAGAGAAGCGTTGTTGAATATGGTACCCTATTAATGGTGGGAAGGGAGACGGAAACAGCGGGGGCGTGCAACAGTATTCCTTCCTTCCTTCAATTTTGGCCTCTCATTTTTTTTTCCTACTTGTGTCTTCGTTCTTCAAAGCTACAGCTTCTACTAGGCTCTCACTTCAATATTAGACTTCTCTCTTTTATCCCTTCCCTAGGCCCCGTCCCCTCCAAGTGGTCGACAGTCACCACGGGTTCAGGGACGATCCTTCCAGACTCGATTTTAGGGAGAATGCGACACATAGGGATTTCCCGCCTGTACATTGAGGGGAATCAGTCTGGTACTACTGTGGGCTGAAGGGTAATATTAAGGGCGAGGGCTACTAATCGATTGTCCTGATGAATTAGACGGGAATAACTAGTCAAGATGATTGTCACCAAAATATACAATATGCCGTGTAAGTGTTATGTTTGACTTTCGTAATAAATTAATAGGACAACTTTATCACTGGACATCGTTGGTAATAACAATATTTCTAATATTTTTTTCAATTTATTAATATTATTGACATTATTAATAATAAATAATGATTTTATTTTCATGCTCTAATAATGATGATAATAGCTTATATTCTTTTTTTCTTTTGGAGTAAATTTTTTTTATTCAATCTTTGATCGAAACTTTTTTTTCCAATCATTCTGCTGTCAAAGCAGAACTCGCAGTGGTTTACTTTGAAGTCCCTAGAATGAGCAATAATAATTGTTATTTTATTTTGTATTCTATCACCGAATAAAAAAAAAAACACGAAACATTCAGAGATTTTAGTGATTTATTAATTCATAGATATCAGTATTGTGCATTGAATAATGTTTAAAGCGATTTTAATACCTTCCTCATATTTTTTTAAAATTTATTAAACATCGTGTATTATGATTCATCCATGCGTAAAAATTATTTGCTGTACGCTAAATACAAAAGTGAATGAACGCTGTCATTGTATAATGCCAGACAAGTACATAGTGATCATTATGAAAGCATTGAAAAAAAAATGATGACCTTCAATATTGCTGAGGGGTCGTCCGTTACAAATAGCAAAGATAAATCTTGGTGAGCGTTACACATATTCTCTGATAAGTCAAACCAAGAGAGTTATGAGTAAATTAAGTGAGTGAGTCAAGAGTGGTAAAAAAAAATTACAAGGAAAGGGTTGGCAAACGCTGTGCCGACGATATTTCGGGTCACGGATGGCTGCCTCTAATGAAATACTGGATGATACATCCCTGAATCTCTTGGGTCTGGTGGCGGGGGTTGACGGAAGGTCGGGATGAGAGAATACAGGATTCAGGGGTAGGATTCGACGATGCAAGGACAAGAGAAAGGGACATAGTAAAGACTAATGGTAGAGTACGAGTGAGAGAAGAGAGAGAAAGGAAGAGAGATGGTACATGTGTTGGTTGCCCTTGGCAACCTACGAGGCTTATGCTTCGTCGTCCAACTCACTCAGAATATGCTACAGCTTGTATATATTCGTTAGGACCGATGTTTATATGTGACTGTATACGAGCCACTAGTCTAGCCTACACACAGTTACATATTATGTCCCGTCAATGCTCACACACAATTCTAAAGATTTATACGCGTGGGTGAGTTAATTGATTTCCCTTTTGTTGGACTAGAGGGCGATGTCCCGCCTCGATCGGTCCAAAAAAAATGCCTTATCAGACACCAATATTTCTTCAAATGTTTACGATCAAAATACATGTTACAGTCGAATATAAAATTACATTTTTAAGTGACTTTTAATGCTTATTAGTTGGGTGAACAACTTATTCAATGGATAGGTCTTTTGTATGAACATCAATCATAAGACAAAAGTCTCGGCTTTATGATGATGTTACTGTTATGTAGGAGTCAATGAATAGAAGTACAGGTTATGTAATAGAATTCTAAATCAGGTTAGGAATTGGATACAGCTTTGATTTTATGGAAAATTAATTTTCAGCCTGTTGAGTGTAACAATAGAGAAAAAGAATTTCTTTTTGTGAAAGAAAAGTTTTATTGACTACTTTATTCTTATATTTTGTTTGAATATTTAATTTATTGTGTACTAATAGTTTTAATGTTTATTGAATATGAAAAATCACAGTTTGTATACAATAATATGAATTTTATGAATCAGAAAAAGTAAAGAAACTTTCTAATCAATAAAATTAGGGTAGAAAATAAAATATTCATAAAATAAAAAAGTTAGTCATATTTTCGGCGATAAAATCTTACATAAAAATTAGATCTGTCAAGCTTTCTTTTTTTTTTTTAAAAACTAACATTGATTTTTCCTCTGGTAATATAAGGGCAAGTATTCTTGCTTGTCATAAAACCATCTTCGTCAGATGGTTAAAATATTTATTTTTTAATTATCTCAAATTTAATTGACATTATTTATCTCATTTAATCTTGGAAAACGTACTCTGAACAAATATTTATTAATACCGTTTTCAAGATTGAAAATTTATGCAAATTAATATTGAATAAATTAAATCATAATAAAAATATTAAATACTTGGAGTATTTACACTACATTTCTGTCAAAATTTTTACAAAGAAAAAAATAAACGATAACATAACTTACGTAATGTATCTAGACTCAATAATATGTACATTAGAAAAATATTACATATTAATATTCGTACAAAATAAAGTAGAATCAATAAACTCATACTTCAAGATAACGTTATCAATGTCTCCAAAAAAACAATCTCCAAGTATTAATTATGATACTAATTAAAGTAAAGTGACAAAGTCTTGTGTTTGTTTTCAACCAATGGCAAGTAAAAAAAACAGTATAACACAACAGATAAATGTATTCTAATCTATAATACCCAATCTAAGACCCAAGAGTTTTGTCGGACGAGTAGGTAACTAGTTCATAGAGTTTATCGGGCCGGAAGTGAGCGGCCAGTTACGAAAGATTGCGGTGATCGTGTGACTAGAATTGCACGCAACATGCCTGGAAATTATACATTCAAAGAATTTCTGTTTTTTTCTCTTTTTATAATTAATCAGTATTATTGTTTCTATAATGCATTTTTTTCCAATTAGCCTTTTTTCGAATTAGTTTAACGAAGGAAATTAAAGGACATGGTTAAACCGTGAATCACCTATGAACTTGCTCCATGCATAATATGGGTTTCTGCTTACAAAATTCACAATGTACGGCTTCCCATGCTCAACACCAAGGTATTGGCCACGTGTTTATGGGTTATCGAGCTTGGAGAGCAGAGGCCAACACGTTTCGTCCTGCCTGCCAATTAAGAGAGCTCAACGCCGTAATCTGGGATACTCAGTAATATGCAAATGCTCTTACGCCCCCAACTCTACATGCATGCAACCACTGCATCACTATACATCTACCATTTCTCCTTTCCTTTATAACGTACATACTATAGCGGATGGTCACGATCGTTATCTCTTCACACTACTAACCAATCCCACACCAATAATAACCCATTCGTTAGGATACAAAATCAACCTCTTCTTCCAAAAGGTGATATTAAAATGCCGACGAGAAAATGACTCGTAATTCATTTCATCATCAAGTTATGGCCCTCTTGATTATATACAATCATCTAAATACTTTAAGTTTTCAACTAAAGCGGTCCCAATCAAATTATATTCTCGTTTTACATTGTTATTCTTACGCTCATTTTATTGACTTTCTTTGGTATAAAATATCAAAATAATCAGGAAAAAATGTGCTTGTTCTTAATGAAAGATATGTTTTTTACACGTGAGGTAATGATCGTTACTTATTTTTTTAAGTTCATTTAGTTTCTAAAAGATTCATTTGTTTTTTTTTCTTACCGTGCGGAAAATTCACTTTTCTGTTTAAGAAAGGTAAGGATTCCTCTAAATAATCTCAAACCATGTACTACCGAATCGTATCCATAGTTTACTCCAACGGATTTTTCCTCCCTAGACTTGTAATGTACTATTTTCGCTATCGCTGTGTAGAAAAGTCTCTTTTTCTGCTTGAAATTCATCAAATATTTTGCACATCCATAGTGAAACATTGTACTTGTATCCCAACAAGATAATTAAGCTAGATGTATGTTGTTTAAATCTACCTACTTTCCCTCCCTAGGTGAGAAAGTACGACTTTTCGGAACATTTCTATATAAAATAAAAATTTTTCACCTTCTAAGGCTTGTACAATGATAGATAACCACCTTGTACAACATGACAAAATTTGCTTGTACGTTGGCGTGGGCGGAATGTCTTATTTTACCTTTGTGATGCATAATATACTATTTACTGCTTCTAAGTAGGTTAAGTAACAAATCTCAACCTTTACTGCATTAACTTACGATTGTTGAACATGCAAAAAATGAAGCCTTGTCTGTTTTGAGTAAAATTTATATTCATTGTAATTAGAAGTTATATTCGCGATTTCAAACATCTATCTAGTTGATTCTATGAATATAATAAATCAAAATATTAAACAAATGTGTTTTAATTTACACTTCAACATTACATGTTAACATAACCTCTTTATTTAGAATGCAATTTTACACCAGAACTCGAATTAAAGAAAATGTATAAAAACGTTTTAAACTAAAAGAAAAAACATTTACGAAGAATTGATTGCAATATTCGTGAAAATATAATGATTCACTTCTCTTTTCTTCTAAAATTTATAAATTCAGATTTTGCCATTATTCATGAGACCCATTAATCAACAAGAGAATACACCGGAGATAGATATAACATTAATATGACTTTATTTTCATAATCATTCATGTTTTAGCAAAAAGATGTTATAACTATAACAATATTTACTCTGAACTCATTATTATTACAATTGTCATCCTGGCATAATTATTTTCTCATCTTTTTTTTTGAAATAATTATTTTT